AAAAAAATTTTTTAGAATCTGATGGAGTATGATTTTGAGTATTTTGTTCCACTAAATTTGAATCTGAAGTTTTGTGCCGCTTAACTTTTTTAACTTAAAAAAGTTATGAGCAATGCTTTCGTATTCAAATTACGAATTCAGATTCGGCCTAGATCCCACACTATGCTTGAAGTCGATATCATATTATGTTGATACGATGAGAAAAGGACATAAAAAAAGAAAACTTGAAATTGACAGTCTCCGGGATCTGGACTTCACCCACAAGTTCGCAATACTGTCACTTTTGTATGACTGAAATAACTGGTTCTTCGCCGACTGATATAAATAATAGAAATAAAATACAATACGCAAATGTTTTATCAGATATTAAACCACAGAAAACAATAGTCGTAGATGAAATTGAGGCTCTTGAAGAGATGGAAGTAGAAAAAGAAAACGTGTAAATGGAATAAGAAATTTAAGAAAAAGTCTCCGAAGATTCAAATTCTGAGGATGAAGATCGTTTGAGAACAAAAGAGTTTGATACCAACAAAGAACAGTTAAAAATTCGAGAAAATCGTTCTCTTCATTCTAATTATATGTCATTTTTTATAGATATTACAATTTTTCATATTTTCAGATTATAAACTAGTATTTTATGCGTGAAAATATACAGTAAAAGTATTTAAACTTATGCAACAATAGTTCAAATTCAAACTTTTATCTCCAAAATTTTTATATTTTCGTGTACTTTTTAAAAAAAAAATTTGTTTAATTTTTAAAAAATAAATTTGTTTAATTTTTAAAAAAAATATTTCTGTATTTTTTCTCAGTTTCATCTAAGTCGTTTTCTAAAAATCATGCATATATTGAATTTCCTACAAATTTTTTGTAACAAACTTCTATATTTGTGACAACTTTAAGCCTGGTCTCATAGTAGGATCTTCATGAAAACTAATTTTTTTCGATTTTTAAAAATTTGTTTCACTTTTCAATTGACCTTAGATGAAACCCAAGTAAGGACTTTGATGAATGACCTCAATTTTGTTGAAAAAATGAGCGAAATGGAGAAAGCAGCTTGGGCGAGTTCTAAAACTGTTTTACAAAATTTGTTTGGACATATTAAAAGCAAGAGTTACGAGACTTTAATTAAAGAGTTGCTATCAAACTACAAAAATTTGAGTTGCTTGATGAATCTTAAATTACACTATTTGTATCTTTATCTGGATCAATTTCCTGAAAATCTTGGAGAAGAACAAAGAGAACGATTTAATCATGACACAAGGGAAATGAAGAGTAGATATCAAGGAAATTATTATGTCAACATGATGACAGATTTTTGCTGGATGTTAAAAAAAGAAATACCAGAAGAAAACAAAAAACCTAAGAGAAACCCACTGCGTAGGTTATTTGAAGATAAAAGAGTTCGATACAAACGAAGGACAGTCTGAAATTCGAATATATGGTATCGTACCTTCTCCTTACATGATATTTCTTACAGATTTAAGGAAATCCTTTCGCTCCAGTTGAGTCAAAACAATTGTAGTAGCCAATATACGATAAATTAAAAAAAGAAACCCATAAAAATTCCTAAAATTAAATAATAAATAGTATATGAGGCATTAATCGTTGAAATTTTGAAAATAAAAAAAAAATAGTTAAATACAAAAATTAATTTGACTCTTTCTAATCAACTGCTAGTAATCTGTCCGTGATTTGGTAACGCTGTACTTCGGTTGTTTACATTTTCATTTGCACAATATAACCTTAACCACGTTTAAGTTTTTGTAGTCAGTGTGAATAAATAAATTAGTTTGAATTTATTGAATGGTCTGAAGCTCGCGCGATACGCAACGTTGCTAAATGTTTTGACTCCATTTTAACGTAGGTTACTTGAGAATTTTTTGTGATTTTTAAATATTAATTTCTCAATAAATATCTCGGTAACTGATATATTTTATTGCAAAAAAAGAAACCTGAATATTTCAAAAATCTAATTTTTAGTTTCTTTTTACTTCATCTAATCCATGACTGATAGTATAATTTGAGAAATACTGCAGACGTCTGACAGGAGAGCGTGTGTGTGTGTTTTTATAGAGGTAAGTCAAATACATTTACGAATAACAGGACCAGATGTTTGGCCTGGGTATGTCGAACTCAGAAGTCAATATTATTGACAACAATACCGACTAAACATCCTTCTTTCTTTTTTCCCCATAGATGTTACGGGGAAGACTGGATCGGAACCGCGTTAGCATTACTTCAATCCAGTCCACGTTGCGTCTCACAACGCCGACTCCTGGTTACTGGTTACTGGTCCCTTTCTGTGGTTATATTCTTTTTTGAGCATGCAGGTAATCAAGCTCTCGGGGGAGAGCATGGTTCCTATAATTTCTTCAGTGCCACTTCGGTAGTCCTTCCACCGTACACACTCGAAGAACGTGTGTTCAGCGTCGTTTATTTGCTCTGGGTAGTATTTGCACGTTGGCGTGGGGTGCAGATCCATCTTCAAAAGATAGGCGTTCAACTGTCCGTGTTCTGTCAATAGCTGGGTGAAGAAGAAATCCGTGTCCCCGTGCTTCCCAGAGAGCCAGACGTTAATGTTTGGAATCAGGTGCGCTGTCCATCTGCCCGTCTCCCCTAATTTCCATCGGTCCTGTCACTCTTACTGCGTTTCCACCTTTATCCTCGCTCTTGCCTCCTTCATGTTTATGTCACTGGTTTTAGCGTCATAGAGTTTTGCTCTTTCGAACGCAAGTAAGTCGATGGGCGCGGCTCCCACAATGACCAATACAGCCGCTTCGGAAACCGTGCAGTAGGTAAGTAAAACCGAGTGCATTTACTCTGGTACCAGACATGTATCTAAGTTAAGCAGAGGTAAAGTACAGAGTATAGATTCACCAACTACCCCTCGTACATGGGTGTTTTTTAAGTTCGGAACTTGTTGTTGAAATGCTCTTAACTGTTCAACTTTTTTTATCATTCTTTCACCATCTCGTAATCTGGCATTACTATCAGCTGAGTATATGCGAACACTTTTTTTTTTTTTCGTTGCTGATCGTTTGTTTAGACTTGACTGTTCGCACTTCACAAATATTACAACCATAACGACCGTTTAAGTTTAGAACTTTTTGAAGACGCTCTCGCTGGAGCATCAGAAATAAGTAATGGAGCAATGTTTTTCGAAGTCATACGTTCTTTAGTTTCTGGATCGGTCCAATGAATATCACTCTCAAATGCATTTTGAATCTTTAAGCTCGGGGTTCTAAAAAAATATTCATAGATGGCTCCAAATCCTAATCAAGCCATAGATCTAAATTTATAATGTGCGATTCTCGTAAATAGTAAGGAAGCTCGGCGATAGTGCATAGTAGTGGCCAGCCATGACCTTTTGAACTCTTAACCACCGACAGCCCATCAGTATTTAAAACTAATGTCAAGTCAAAGTCACCTCTATTCAGTCGAGAGTTTACTCTAATGTACTCAGAACCATCAACGATGTCACTAATTATATTATTTGTTCGTAAAGTTGGCTTCTTTAATTTTTTTCTCAATTGACGAAATCCAAACATACATGGAGACATATTTATCATTTTAATTTAAGTAGAAAATATTACTCTAGTCGATAAAAATATCGTGTTGAAAACGTACATACTCCAAAAGTTGATTGAAAGTTATTACAAATATAAACATCAAGGATAGTTACAAATAGTGTCTATTACGTTTCTGTTATATTAAATCCGAACAAAAACGGTTTCACTGTTATTATAATAATAATAATAATAATAATAATAATAATAATAATAATAATAATAATAATAATAATAATAATAATAATAATAATAATAATATGCGCATAAAGGGTCGTTCTTGTATACAAGTCTCTGAGAGTGTCATAGAAGGGGCATGCGATCAGGAAGTGCATTACAGTTTCTTTTTTGCCAGTCCCACAGAATTTGCAGTCCTTGAGTGGTGATAAGATGAACGTCTCGCTGTTAGTCAAAATGAAGCACGAGTATTTGCTGGCCAGGCGGAGTTGGACGATTGGCTTGCACAGATAGTGTGGTACTCTGTGGAAGAGTTCTGGAAGTATTTCAAATAACGGGACAGGTAGAATGAGCTGACAGCCTGAAGAGCGAGAGTATCTTTCCCGGTCCATTCGTGCTAGGTGACTACGATGTTTACTCAAGATGTTATCTTTGCGTGTTTGCCAGTGCTCCACATCTAGGTTGTCTAGCAGTGAGTCTTCGTTGATAGGCTTTAGAAGTTCTTTCAGTTGTTGAACCTAGTTGGAGATTTTATGCTGTGTAGAGTGATTGTTTATTTCGACTTGACGCAGCAGGCAGATTTTGGGGAGTCGGTTATCTGAAAGCTTCAGGATTTTAATGATCCAGTTCAAGGCCAGCTGCAAAATATGGGTGGAGATATGTTGCAGGTTTAGCTCAATTCTCAAGGCATAATTCGGAGTACACCTGGGGAGTGAGAATAATTTCTTGTAAAAGGCTAGATTGGCCGATTCTAGCATTTCAATGAAGTCGGGCCTAAAGCACCAGATCTGCGACATGTAAAGCAAAGAGCTGCGAATCAAGCTGCTGTGTAGTTGAAGCTTGCCTTTCCAGGCATCAGCTTTCAGCTTGGTGAGGATGGCAAGGGCTGTGCCGGTCGCAATTCTGCTTTTACTAACTGCATGGTTGGCCGTTGAGATATTGAAAATGCTCGCAGAGAAAGCCACAGCTAGATGCGTGTAAAATTTCACCATTTCGATCTCTTCTCCATTAAACAGAACTACAGGGCACTTTTTCCGACATTTTCCGGAGAAACTATTTCTTAAGATCTTTGTTTTTGACATATTGACCTGCATGGCGTTCACTTTGCAGTAAGTTTCGAGAATCTTGAGACCTTTTTGGAGGTGACTAGATGAACGGAGTGTCATTGCAATATCGTCAACATACATTAAGAACAGGACAGTTATCGAGACATTTAGACTGATTCCTTCAAGTCCCTGCTCATTGAAGAATGACGTAATGTCCGATAGGTATAGAATGAATAAGATAGGGCTTAGCACTTCTCCTTGCAACACGCCTAGAGTTACATTAGCTTGTTCAGAGAGCTGTCCGTTAACTCTCACTTTCATTTGTGCATTGTCATACAGGATCTTCAGTATGTTGATTAGTTTGGAGCTGAGGCCTAGATTCATTAGTTTTGTCCATAGTTTGTCGTGAGGGACCGAGTCAAAGGCCCGGCGAAAATCTATGAATAAGGTATATACAGGTTTACCGAACCTTAGCTTCATTTGCAGGAGAGCCAGTAGGGTAAAGACATTGTCTGCACATGGTTTGCCGGGTTGAAAACCTGATTGTTCTTCTGGGATGATTTTTTCAGTCTCGGCCCCCTTCTTAATACGCGAGTATATTTGCGTGAAGACTTTCGTGATGTTGTTAATTAGTGCAATACTGCGATAGTTTTCCGGGTCCGTGGGATCACCTTTTTTGAACAGCATCGTGGTGATATTTTTTGTCCAATCCAACGGTAGTGTCTCTGTGACCAGTATTTTGTTGAAGAACGCAAGAATAAATAGCTGCCAGTTTCCCGGGAGGTTTTTTAAAAATTCATTGCTGATATTGTCCATACCTGCTGCTTTGTTCGACTTGCATTTTTTGAGGCTTTCTTCTAGCGTAATTTCTACATCAAATTGCTGGTTCAAATCTGAGTGCCAGGTAGGGTTGGAGGTGATGCGGGGTGGGTAGGCTTTATGGAAAAAATTCTCCCACTCCACAAGTGCAATGCTATTCTGGCTACGAGAGCTTCTTCGAACCAATTTCATTGTATCCCAGAAGTCTTTGGTGTTGCGGGTTTTGGCAAATTTAGCTTGGATAACATTGATGTATTCCTGTTTCTTCAGCCTCAAGTAACTGTAATAGTCTTTTTTAGATTGGCGATAGATTGCCCAGATAGGATATGAATTGTTCGACAACTTACATTGGCGGAGAATATTTTTTAACATTGCTTTTTGGTCCTTGCAGCTTTTGTCAAACCAGGGTTTTGATCTGCCTTCTGGTGGATTTTTCCTGCTGGCTCGGGACATCTGGGCTTCGCGTGCAGCTTCAGTAATGGCAACGGTTAATTGCTTATTGAAGTCGTCGACAGAGGCTGAATTTATGTCAATTTTGATGAGAGAGGACCAGGTAATATAGTGGCGAAAACGATCAGCGTGATTTTCGTTCCATCGCAGAGGGCTTGGCTGCATAGAGTTTTGTTCAGCTTGAACCAAGTTCCCAACCGGGCCAGTGTGAAGCCTAATTGTTACGGGTAGGTGATCAGAGTTCGTAACCATGTCCTCCACCCACATGTCGGACACATGCTGAAGACCAAGGATAATAACCCATATTAGATCGATAACACTTTTTCCAGAGCACTTCCCCATTTCGGTCTACAGACGAGTCTGCCCTGATGATTACAGATTTGATCTCGCCAGTTACGGGTATTGTCGAGGTTCGTGTTTACAGTAACGTCTTCCTGCACTTGACTCTCGTTACCCACTCGGGCATTAAAGTCGCCACCAGCGATGAAGAGATCGAAATGATGAGTATGGAAGATATTGGATAGAGTGAGTTGTAAAAGATCAAGGGTCTCTTCTAAGTTCTCATTTGGTTTGAAGTGGATTAGGGCACTAATAATAGTAAGATTACTGAAAGACACTTTAGCAATGATCCAGGACTTAGATGAAGAAATTGTCGTTGATGTTAAGCTCGAGAATATAATCAGTCTGCCGCTGAGTCTGCCTTGTTTCAGTGGTTTTGTAGCTGGGACGAATATTTTTTTTGCAGATTGACTTAGACTTGAGAGGAAGAGATCATCGGTTGCCCAGGTTTCGGAAATACATATAAGACTGGCAGTGGAGAAGTTGATGATCTCTGGTATGTTGTCTTGACCATGAGCATTCCAAAAAGTGATGTTGACTGTGCTGACTGTGTTGAGAATATTTAGGTGATGTGGTTGAATTACATTTAGCTATTGAGCGTGGGGGTTGAAATTGCTGTTGGTGTTGCTACTTTGGGAGTAGCTTGCATTTGTAATAGTATCTGGTCAAGGGTTAAAGTTAGTTTGTGAGGTCAATGACGATTGGCTCGGGACTAATGCGTTTAAATTTTTATCCCATGTCATGGGGGTGCCGTTGGCTATGAGCTTTTGAAAATCATTCTTGATATTATTACCTTCAGCTTTAAGTTTTTTGCCTTCATCTCTGAGCCTTTTTGCAATGTAACTCTCTTCTGGTGTAAGATCTGAGTTGATATACACAGGAACTTTCAGTAGTCGTATGTTCTTGAGGATTTTCTGCTTTACTTCTTAGTCTTTCAGCACTACCTTGATGCTGCCTTTCGTCTTGTTGAGAATTGACACTCTTTCGATACAGTTTTTGGTGTTAAGGTGTGTATCAAGCAGAGTTGCAAAAAATGCATTACTTTATTTAATGCATTGGCGTTTCATTACTCATTACTATATTAATGAGGAATGAAATCAATTACCCTTACTCATTATTTTTTTTTAATGGAACATAAATTAATTTCGATTAAATTTTTTTTAATGAAAAATGTATTGTCTGTACATTACTCATTTTTAATGTTAATGAGTATTTTGAAAATCTCCGTTAAAATTTTTTACAATAATGAGTAATGGACGCATTTTTCATTCCTCATTTTTTTTATTTTTAATGAAGAATTAATGAGTATTCCATTACTCATAAGTCATTGATATAATTCCTAGTTCTTGTAATAGTTGTTATATCGTTGATGATAAACTGTGAGCTGGATCATACAGAATAGAAAATGAAATAAAATTTAAGTCCGATTCATATTTCTTAGTAAATAATTAACTTAATAAATACATTGAAATCGATAAATACGTATTGTTATGAAACTAAACGAGATCGTGACTCTATAAAAATTTATTATTATTTTGTTAGGTAAATATTGTTGCTATAGGCAGTTATAAATGGAACCATTATTATTATTGGAAAATAATTAGTTAATATAATTATATTTATATATAAATATTCAATGTCACAACATAAGGCAATTATTATATCTGCTAACAATATGCGATTATTGGATATCCGAACAAAAACAGTTTTACTGTAAAAAAATCGCGCCAAGTCCACGTTCATAAGACTATTCAGAAAAACAAATTAGTTTTTTCTTTACAAAAAGATATAAAATAGAAAAATTAAAAAATCCAAGTAACCAATATGATTTTTTATGATTTTCGGAAATTAAAAAAAATTTTGTTTTAAATTTAAAAAGTAAAAAAACAATTTTGGAACGTATTTAGTGTGCGCGGTCGCATAATATTTTACTTTTAATTATATTCGTAAAATCTATTTACTAGGACTTTAAAAAAATTGAAATACACAATATGACGCACACCAAGTACATTCCAAAATTGATTTTTAACGGATTTGAACGGTACTTGGCGCATTTTTAAATTTACAACAAAATTTTTTTTAATTTCCGAAAATCATAAAAAATCATATGGGTTACTTGGATTTTTTAATTTTTCTATTTTATATCTTTTTGTAAAGAAAAAACTAATTTTTTTTTCTGAATAGTCTTATGAACGTGGACTTGGCGCGATTTTTTTACAGTGAAACTGTTTTTGTTCGGATTTTATTTTTTTTTGTAATTATAATAAAAATTTACAATTGGTACCAACTTAAATCTCGCGAATAGCAAAATCTCTTTTTATAGCAAACTATCCCCTTGAAGCTACAGTTTATGTAAAAATAATTGCAGCGCACCCTCGCGGGTATAGATGCAAGCTGTGAAATTTCTTTTTTCAACTGTAGTTTCCCATCTAATGAAGGATAACTATGCATTTTCGAATTATTTAGTTTGTGGCAAATCACTTTGCCCATCAAAAAAAAGTCAGGATCGAAATTTTTGCGTTGCTATAGTTTGTGCTGATTAAATTCAGTAATTTCAAGTAGATTAATTGTTATAAGTGAATATAATTAATAATAGTAAAATAAAGTATGAATTACTGTTATAATATACAATTTAGGAAAAAAAAGTACCGTAGAATTAAATAAAATTTGTCAACTTCAAAATACCGTTCTGTTTACAGTAAACACAGTCGGTAGTCTGGCGCTCCGTTGACAACGGATTTGAACGGAACTTGGCGCCAGATTCTGCCGAATCTGTGGATTTCTTGTAACAATTGCGCAATTATGAATTTTTTTTCGAGTTATTGAATACTTTTTATTAAAAAAAAAAGAAAGTATATATTTTAGGTGTGGTATTTCCAAGTGTACCCGGGTAAAAAGATTATGTGCAATTATATATAATTATATATGAATCATATGGGGGAATCACGTGACGCCTGATACTGAGCGGTCGCAAATCGTAAATACTCCGCACTCTATTACATAAAATTGAAACTCCTAAAAGTGAAGTAAAGTGCAAAATACGTAAAAAATAAAGTGTGTTATCTGAGCTCTCGTTTAAACAATTAGTTCTGAAAAATCCGATGTGTGTTAATCTTTAATCCTGCAGTAAAAAATATCAAGCCATCTTGTAGGTTATGATGAAAAGTGAGACAGAGGTGACAGAAAGTCTTCACAACGGTGGCAGTGAAGCCATCTCTGGAAATAACAACATACTCAGTAACAACTATCTTCCCTCTGTAGGACAAACAAAACCCACTGTCCCGGCAGGGGAAACACCTAGACCCAAAGGAAGACCGTCAAAACCACTAACTTTTACTCGTGATAGAGCCGGATCATCAGGCAACATTGAAGACTATCTTAAAAGGAAAAGGCCAGCTGACACTGACCTCGACAGCTCGATGTTTGAACCAGATAAGAGTTCCCAGCAACTCAAGAAAATGAACATAGGTACACAAGATACATCCAAGTCTACTTCTGAAATAGCAAACCAAACACGGGAGCAAGGAAAGCACCAAGTACCCGCCAATATGGAGTCTGGCATGATACTCGATAACATAGATTGCTCAATGCCAATCAATGCAGAGACTATTTTCACCATGTTTAGCAATTTAAGCAAGCAAATAAATATGAACACTAACAAAATCAAAGAGCAAATCGAAATAAGCCAACAGAACAACATAGATGCTATTAAACAAGTAAAGGAAGAGCTGATAGGCCAACTGGACGGCATCAAAGCGAGACAAGATAAACTTGAAGCTGACATCGAAAATATTAAATCTGGTAAAATCAACATACCATCAGTTCAAGGCAACACTCCAGAGCTGGAAAAAACTCAAGCAAAAATCAAACAGCTCGAAAATATGATCCACCATCAAGAAAAACTCACCAAACAAATGAATGTTGTCGTCAAAAACCACGAATGGACAGATCACAGCCTTACAACTGATACAAACAACTTCTTTAAAATTAATTTTAATTTGTCGAACGTTATTGAAAGTGTCACACACATCAACCGTGAATGCAAAATTGCACGCGTGAAATTTAATAACTTCAGTGCCAAAGAGACAGTAATGTCAACCAAGGCACGCATTCTAAAACACACTTCCGTATCTATAAACCACGACCTCACCAAAAAGGCTCTCCTATGCAATAAAAAACTCCAAGAAAAGGCAGCTGAACTCAGAAACACAGGCAAGGTGGTAAAAGTCTCAGGAAGCCGCATGTGTGTGGAGAAAAAATGGTATACATGGGATCTAAATAATAAAACTATGCGACAAGTGAATATTTCTGATACTGACAACGCCGAACTGCAAAGACCTAATCGGTCAGAACCAAACCAATAGCTAAAAATCATGTCATGGAACGTAAGGGGCCTACAAAACTTCTTCAACCACCAGCAGCATATGAACATTGATATTTACTGTATTTGTGAAACATGGGCTTCCAGCGAAATCACTCTACTAGGCGACTGGGATAAATTCACCATAGTTACATCTCCAGCTGTCAAGGAAAAATGTATGGGACATGCATGTGGTGGTATTGCAATTATAGCCAGAAGAGGCTTGGAAATAAAGGTAATCAACTCCTCAGATAGTTGGCTTTTTGTATCAGTCTCTGCCGGTTTGTCTTTCTTTGTTCTAGCCTGTGTCTACATTAGACCATCTCGTAACATGGCTGCCTCACTTGACATACTCCAGCAAACATTAGATGAGATAAATGAAACCACTGTATATCCACCAATTATACTCACCGGAGACTTTAATGCTCATGTTGGTAACCTAGATGACATCTCTGAAGACCTCATTATAGGCACAAATTTAACGGAGTTTAGAACATCAATAGACACAAAAGTAGACACCAGGGGGCATAAATTATACTCTTTTCTCCAAAACAACTCGATGCACTTCACAAACGGAAGAACAATTAGTGATTCACCGGGTAAAATCACGCATATCGGTAAGGGATGCAGCACTATCGACTACGTAATCACAAATGTACAAGCGTTTGAACAAATTGTCAACCTAGAGGTACTCCAATATGAAAATGATTCAGATCACTTCCCGTTGCTACTGCAAACCTACTTGTCAAATACTTTTAAACGCGACATAAGCTCAGACAACTATGATGAACCGGGAAGAGTAATATATACTTGGCAACAAGACAAAAAAGAGGACTTCAAATTACATATGCGTAACTCCCATAGAATATGCGTGGATTTCTCTGCTATGTCAACAACTGATCTCAGCCATAATCTCCAAGAAGTTATGAAATCTACCGCCAACCTTATCGGCCTGACTAGAGAAATTAAATCAAAAAGATATAAGAAGAAAACCCAGCCCTGGTATGATACCGACTGCAAAATTGTAAAAAATAATCTTAAGCTACTTTTCAAGCAATTTAAAAATAATAACTTCCAGAGCAATGCCAAAAAACAGTCCCTCGATGCGAAAAAGAGCTACAAAGCTCTCGTCAAATTAAAAAAGGCTCGGTTTACAAACGGAATATTAGACAGTCTAGCCAATTTAAAAAACCCAGCCGAATTCTAGAGAGCTGTGAGACGCTTCAAAAATAAATCCACTCCGAATAACAATCCAATCGACATAAACATCTGGGAAAATTTCTACGCTGAACACACCGTGCCAAAAGATCAAGATCAGTACACCTTCTTTGGAACATTTGATCCATCACTTGATATGAAGTTTACAATGGAGGAGCTAAATGTAGCTATTAAATGTAGCAAACCAAACAAATCTCCAGGTCCCGACTGTATCAAGAATGAATATTACAAATCGCTGTCTCAAAATTGGAAATTATATATACTTTGCATGTTTAACAAAGTACTGGAGACCGAAATGATCCCGGATGACTGGTTCACGTCCACGGTTACGTTACTACATAAAAAAGGATGCAAATTAGACCCTGCGAACTATCGTGGGATAGCCTTAATAAACCACTGCTCCAAATTATTTACATCCATGCTCAACAGAAGGTTAGAAATTTGGGCCGAGTCCAACAAAGTCATACCGGAAACCCAAGCAGGTTTTCAGAAAAACAAAAACTGCATGGACAATCTCTTTAATCTATCAACAGCGATTCAATCTCGCCTGCAACAAGACAAAGCTAAACTATACGCTCTGTTCGTAGATTTTAAAAGGGCCTTTGACTCCATAAATCACAAGCTGCTCTGGCTCAAGTTGTACAACCTCGGTCTTAGTGCTAAAGTCATCCGGATACTCAAAAACATATACGACTCGGCATCGTTCTGCGTCAAGAGCAATAATAAACTCACCCGTGATTTCAGCTCAACAGAAGGAGTACTCCGAGGTGAAATTTTGAGTCCACTATTATTTGTATTATACATCGCAGACCTGGAAACCATATACAGAGAGAACAGCTGTGAAGGCATAAATATAAATGGTACTTCCGACATACTAGTTACTACTGTACAATAAAAGTAAACAACTGCAAATACATCTTTGAATATCCACAAAACTGCCCACTGTGCAATCTTGGTGAAAAAGACAGCATTGAACATCTGCTCCTAAGTTTCCCACAGCTCAAAAGCCTTCGGCAGCATTACATCACCGCCAACTTCGGACCAGTGCCTACAATCCATGACATCTTAAACCCCAATTGCCCATACGTAAAACCAGTATACCATTTTATACAAAACGCCTGTACCCTAAGAGCATTTATTCTCTTTGAATAATCCATTAATGTAGTGATATATCTATTGATTTTAATTTTTAATTATAATGTTTCACTTTCTCTTTTTTATAACCTATGTACCTGAAATTATATGAAAAATATATGTATATGTGATTATCCCCTTGCAATGGGAATGTATGTTCTCCTAGAAGCAAATAAATTTTTTTCTAAATTTTATTCTATATATGAATCATATATAATTATGTATGATTCATATATAATTCTGTATAATTATATATGATTCATGTATAATTATTCAGAGTTATATATAATTGTATATAATTCTGGATATATTTTTTCCTTTATTTTGTATATTTATCTATAATTATGAAGAATTATGCATAATCATATATAGATATATATCGTTTTATATAATAGTTTAGATGATTTTTGTATCATTATATATAACAACGCAAAATTATATATTATAATATAAAATTTCATATAATTATCCAAAATTATGTGTAATTCTACATATTTCTATAGAAAGTTTTAGCTATTTTTGTGTAATTATGTAAGAATATATATAATCATACATAATTATATATAATTCTACGTAATGTTCTCGGTCATTTTGTATAATTCTATATAATTATGTAAAAGTATATATAATCATGTATAATTCTATATAATTTCATACAATGTTTTTCTCGTGTTTAACCATTTATATAAAATTATATATAATTATACATAATCCTACATTGTATTTTGGTTATGGTTGTATAATTGCTTATAATTAAGTAGAATTATATATAATTATATAAAATTATGTATAATTTGAAAAATTAATGTATGATCTTCTTCGTAATTTTTGTATAATCATAAACAATTATGTATAATTATATCAAATCATATTAAATTATGATATTATAGATAATGATTTTTTTTTTTATATTTTTCATATGATTAAATGAAAATCATAATAAATCTTCAAAGCGAAAAAAGTGATGACAAAGATTACTTTTTTATTGAAACGTGGCTGGTCTCGACTGTTCGTAGAGACAACAAATTTTTACTTCACAAAATAAATTACTTAAATTTATTTAAATTTTTAATTAAGTATGAAATAAATTATCTAAATTTTAGTTAAATAAACTCTACGAACTGGGCCGAAAAGACACGCCCGTCACACCTAGAGTGTAACCAACTCGAAGCCGTGGCTTATAAGAGTCGATGCTGCTCCAGATGCCTGTAGCTTTAGATTTTACGGCGGACCAAGCCGATAGCTTTCAAAGCTACAAATAGCTAAATTGATTTAATTCGCGTAAAGAATATGGTCCAGGGCAAATCGTGGGTGGCGATACTCGTTGAAAAGTGGGTTCAGCTCCGACACAAAACCAACCTTTACCGCGTACTGCTCCTTCCGCTGATCGCTTAGTTAGAAAAATATAGCTAAATGGTCGACAAATACAAATATTGAAAAATACAGCTCAAAGTAAGTTCAATACCGCGTCCAATTCTTACCAATATACCACCTGACTTACAACAGGTACTACTACCACTTCGGTGTGCTTTAACGTTGTCCAGCGGTGGTAGATTCCTCGTGGCTGCAGCTGGGCCGGTTACTGGATCAGGAACAGACGAATAATCGAGGTGACCATCAACCAAGATCTTCCTCGAACAATGGAACGGCGCTTTCCTCAACAAAATGGCTGACTACTCGAGACCTCTTGAGTACACGACATGCCAAGCGAATTTATCTTGTATGTGCGTCGTATTATTTAATTAATGTACGATATACTCCTTGTTAACTGATAATCAGAGTCGTATCGTACTATTATGGATTAAAATGCCGTTATTATTTAATAAACGGTGTAGTATAATAAAATACCGAATATTACGTTGTAACACGGTAAAAATAATTACTTATATTTCAAGAAATATATCAATTACAGAAGTATACATTATGGGAGTTGAACAAAGACTGGTTGGACGCGGCTTCCGCGTACATATTTTAGCATTGAGAAGTGGGGAGACGTTTAGCGCCACTCTCAAATGATTTTCGTACTATTAGCAATTATAATCTAATTTATAATCTGATCTATGTTATCGGCAAACGTTCGGTATCAGGTGGTAAATTGGCATTTACCCAATGTGAGCCAACTGGCCATGTTGCATTATAAGCAATGATTTTTTTTTAACTAGCATTTACCCGCTGCTTCGCTCGTGTTGAAGTCCTTCGATAAATATCAAAGATCATTACATTCCAATAGTACTGAATCAATGTGATTCAAATTTTTTGACAAAGAATTTTCTTTTCTTTCGTAAAAAATAAATTTTTTTTTTGAATAACAAGTATCCTATTTTACTTCTAATACTTCCAAAAATGTGTGTACAAAGTTTCATGATGATCGGTTAAGTAGTTTTTTGCGTGAAAGCGTAACAAACAAACTTACATTCACATTTATAATATTAGTAAGGATTTAAATCCAATTTTATAATAAAATTACCAAATTCTCTTTGAATTATCTGGTCTTTTACATACAAAATCTCTAAATCTCCTACTCTCAATGACTAGAAAACACTTTGTATTTCTCTTAATTCTATTAACAAGTAATTTTCAGATTCTGTAACTGGTATAATATGTTTTACTACTGCTTGCATATTTAAATTACTGATCATTTTATTATGTTCAACTTTCAATTCTTCAATTGAAAAATACAATTCATTTTCTATAGAAAATAAATAATATAAAAATTTACAATAGTCAAAATAAACAATCTATTAAAAATGTACTGCTTTTATTAAGTTTTATAGAATTTTAAGAAATTTCATAAAATTTATGTGTAAATCTGATCTTTCTTGGGTTTGAATTTAAATAGATTCAATAGATTTTGTCGTGTACAGTATGGATTCAGACCATTGAGCAGCGTGCAGGACTGATAACCAGGAGGAGTCGAGTTCGAACCCAGCGGACGCCCGGAATTTTTCATCAATTAAAATAGTTTCTGATTACTACATCACACTCCGAATCGCATTAGTTTCAATACAATTAGAAAAAAACAATTTTTTTATCCATTTTTGAAAAAAAATGAATATAATTATATATAATCGCATATATTTATATATAGTGGATATAATTATACATGATTATATATAATTATGCCGGGCCATTTTTTATATATAATTATACCCAATTATATATAAATTTTTTTACCCGGGTACCTCGAGTTTATTGAAAATATAATAACAATTTATATCAATAAGCAATATCTGAAATAATGCTATTTAAGAAAGGTAATTTGAAATGATTCAAACCAATGGAAATATTTCAAAAGCATCTCATTTAAATACTATAAATATTTAATAGGGAAGTGATAGTTTCAAATCTTCTTTCTGAATCCAGAAAAAGACTAATCTCCTGCAGTGTTAGACAAGTAAAACTGTTCCTTACTTAAAGATGAATCTTCTTTAAAAAATTAATTTTTTCAACAATCATATACCGGGAAGTTACTTATTATCAATCTGCCAACGTGAAACGTACTTAAATAAAGAAAGACCATTCGGCAGCCGAAATGGAAGTAGATTTCATGATGAATAGAAAAAAAAATAGAACGAGGATTGTATACAAAACTAGGGTTATTAACTTCTATGCAATCGACAAAAATATATATCAACGGAAGAATTTTAAAACCAGTGCAATAGCAAATTTCATAATTGGCATAGCGGAATAGGACACAATTTTAAGACTACACATATGATATGGTACTTAAATTAAAGCTTATTTAAAGAGCTTTCAGATGCATTTTACAGAATTTCAATAAGTTATCAGTAGAGGGACAAGGGGGCGCCTAGCTCAGTCAGTAAAACAGAGCAGTTACCATGTGGTTCGTGTTCATGCTAAATTATCAACCATATTTTCAACCCTTTTTTATCACTTGGCCATATTTTCAACCCTTTTTATCGACTATTTGAATTTTAATTTCCACCATTTTCCCCGCCCTCTTTTTATCCGCCATCTGATGACCGCTTTTTGAATTTCCGACATTTTCCCACCCCCTTTTTTATCATTTGATCATATTTTCGAACCTTTTTATCGACTATTTTAATTTCCGCCATTTCCCGCCGCTCTTGATCCGCCGCCTAGTAGCCGCCATTTTCGGCAACTACGTCACCCCTTTTGGCCCGCCATCTAGTAGCCGCCATTTTAACTATCTCTACAACCCTTTGTCCCACGATTTCATCACCCTCTTTGTCTCGCAATTACGTCACCTTTTTTAGCCTGCGATTTCGTCACCCTCTTTGTCCCGCAATTACCCTTTTTAGCCCGTGATTTCATCAGCTATTTTCCATAAACAAGCCCTAACTTGTTGATGACGTCATTTTCTGACGCAATTTTTTCTGATGCAACCCTTTCTGCGCGATTTACCGCTACTTTTTTTCATCTTTTATGGTAGGGATTAACGATATAAAATCAGCTCGCAATCGCGAGATCATCATTCAGTTTCAATTCATTAGCCCGTGCACTTCAAGTCCACTAGTGAAAAATTCAGTGATTTAAATATTGGAAGAACCATATTTAACTTGAAAAATGGAATTAGTTGAACTCAACAAAATTAATCTTACACCAGGATATCTCCCCACGAAAAAGATCTACGAGCTGGAAGAGGGTAAAATCTACAAGATTAGTCAATTAAAAACGGTCTCTACCAAGTTTGGCTTGAAATATGTCGCCACAATTGATACAGAATTTCAAATTTTTGTTCCCACTAAAACTGTGAAATATTTGAATGCTAATGCTGACATCTTCGCAAAATTAATGGAATCTACCAACGACAATTTACTCTACCTACGCTATCTTCAGAAAAAGGATAATATATTTAAATTTGTTATTAAATCTTAAATGTATGTAAAAAAAATTTACAATAAAAACAAAAAAAGTCTTATAACTTTTAGTTTTACTTATTTATTAATTTAAGCTTGCTTCAATTTTACTGCCTACTATCAATTATTGCTTGATTTCAATTTTTAAATAATAGAATTTATTATATGCGTATGTAATAAACTGTTACTTACTATAATTTTATTTTTTTATTAATACTATTTATTTTATTATTATATTTTTTTCTTATTATTATTATTACTAATTATTGCTCGATTTTTATTTTTAAATAATAGAATTTATTATATGCGTATGTAATAAACTTTTACTTACTATAATTTTTCTTATTTTAATACTATTTATTATATGCGTATGTAATAAACTTTTACTTACTCTGATTTTTATTTTAATACTATTTATTTCATTATCATTATCATTATATTTCTTCTCTTATCAATTATTGCTTGATTTTAATTTTTAAATAATAGAAATTATTATATGCATATGTAATAAACTTTTACTTACTATAGTTTTTATTTTTTATTAATACTATTTATTTTATTATTATATTTTTCTTATTATTATTATTAATTATTGCTTGATTTTAATTTTTAGGTAATAGAATTTATTATATGCGTACATAATAAACTTTTACTTACTATAATTTTTAATTTCCCGCTAAAAATCTCAGATTTTTAAAAATCGGGAAGTTATTGTTTTTACCCCGTTTTACAAAATTCGAGTTTTCATCAGATCTCGACGTTTGAAGGTCACAGGAAGCTTCTCTGACTATTTTTACGATGATGTCCGTACGTCTTGTGTGTGCTTTTTTTTTTTTTTTATATAGAGGAGGTAAAATACATTTACGTATGCCAGGGCTTGGTGTTGTTGCCAGGACTAGGTGTTGGTGCCTGGGTATGTCGGACTCGGAAGTCAATATTTGCAACAATACCGACTAAACATCCTCCTCTCTCCTTTCCCTATAGATGTTACAGGGATGACTGGAACGGGACCCCGTTAGCATTACTTCAATTCAGTCCATGTTGTGTCTCATGACACCTACTTCTTGTTACTAATTACTGGTTTCTAATCCCTTTCTGCGATTTTTTCTTTTAAAAGGCGCTGCGCGTAGGCTGCAACAGCTGACCAGTTTTCTTCTTTTTTTATCATGCAGGTTATCAAGCTCTCAGGGGAGAGCGTGGTGCCTATTGTTTCTTCGGTGCTGGATCTGTCGTCCTTCCACCGATCACACCCGAAAAACGTGTGTTCGACGTTGTCAATTTTGTCTGGGCAGTATTTGCACGTTGGTGTGCTGTGCAAACCCATCTTGAAAAGATAAGCATTGAACTGCCCATGTCCCGTCAACAGCTGGGTCAGGAAGAAGTCCGTATCCCCGTGCTTCCGAGAAAGCCAGACGTTGATGTTTGGGATCAGGCGCGCCGTCCATCTGCCCGTCTCTCCCGATGTCCATCGGTCCTGCCACTCTTGCTGCGTTTCCGCCTTTATCCTCGTTCTTGCGTCCTTCATGTTTTCGTCACTGATTTTAGCGACATAGAGTTTTGCTCTTCCGAACGCTAATAGGTCGATAGGCGCGACTCCTGCAATGACCAAAACAGCCGCTTCGTAAACTGTGCGGTAGGCGCAGGCAACCCTGAGAGCGCCTCGCCGCTGCACTGCTGCTATCTTTCGCCGGTAGGTCTTCTGCTTTAATATGTCTGCCCATATCTCTGCTCCATAAAGCAGTACCGAGTGGACTGCTTCTAGAAGAACTCTTCTCTTTTTTGTTCTTGGTCCCATGGTGTTGGTCATAATTCGTGCTAGGCTAGACACAGTCTTGCTGGCTTTCTTGCATGCACTGTTGAGGTGTTCACGGAAAGATAGTTTCTCGTCTATCATTACCCCTAGATAGCGCAGATAGCATATCCGCGTGAAAATTGGTTCATTCATTCAAAAGTTATTGCCGTTTGAAAATTAAAAAAATTGTGTCTTCAAACTGCTATTAGAATTTTGAGCTCGAAGAGCTCAAATTGACACAAAAATAATATTTTTGAGCTCGAAGAGCTCAAAAACGTAATGTGTAGTTTGAAGCATTTAAATACAAAATGAGCGGGAAGTTGCAGGGATGGCCTTTAGGGTGAACCGTTTTTCTAATTTTTTTATTTTAATACTATTTATTTTATCATCATTATATTTTTTTCTTATTAATTATTGCTTGATTTTAATTTTTAATTAATAGCATTTGAGTTTAAGTTTGCACCTCTTGGCGCGCGGACGCACGTTTTATCATCTGTGTGATTTTAACGAATTTTAACAATTTTTAAGCAAGTTTATAAGTTTCTGACAGTTTCGTCGAATAGTGTAAAAACTGAGATTACATCTAAGTGATAATTTTTTAAGTTTTACGAAATTAATAGAATATTTTTGGTGTAAATCAAAGTCCGGCTAAATAAATTGAAGGTTACGTTTTTATTTCTCTTGTGAGTGCATAGTTTTGTATGAGTGGGAGTTGCGCTGACCACCCAGCAGAGCTCGCTTCAGTTGTACCTCAGCCTACTCCACTCGAAGCGGGAAATTCAAGCACTCCTCCCCCGCTTAGCTCTTCGCCATTCCAAGCTTCTGACAATTTAAACGTTGTCGTGACACCAATAAGGCACCGTGGACGTCGTATCTTGGCTGAATCACTGAAAATCAACCCTCCAACACGCACAAAATCACTCCCTGAGTTATTTAAAAATAATAGAAAGCGACCTCACGTCTCAGACAACAAAATCAGCCCCCCAGAAAAACACCTGCGGTCGTCTACATCTCCTCCAGCCTCACGTCTGCTAAAAGAAGAAATGGGCGAACATCAGAAAATCTTAGATGGTTTGTTCGAAAAACTAGAGAAGTGGAGAGAGGAAGACAGACAACATCTCGACGAGGTAAAAACTGAGCTCTCAAAGCAAATCTCCGCCGGCAACGATGAAAATAGAATGCACATCGACACGATTAAGAGAGAGCTCCTGGACAAAAATGAGGTACTCGAGACCGAAATATCGACACTCAGGGCCCGCATCGAAACGCTCGAAAAAACGCACAATTCCAGTCACCCAGCCTTCTACCGCCTAACAAGAGCACCACGCC